ATTATAAAAAAACTTAAAACAAATATTTTAGTTACTTAAAATAATTAAAATGTGAAAGAAAGTAGTTTCATATTGTATCCTTAATTGAAATAAAAGTTTATAATATAATATTATAGGAAAGTGGATAATTGATTTCCGTCATGTATATCATTCTCAACATTAGCTAAAACCTAAATCATATTTCAATTTTTGCAAACAAAATCTCATAATAAATTGATGTTTCGTGACATTACAAACTGTAGCAATATTAAAATAAATCTGAGAGAAAAAGAGGCTATTTTCTCATTCAGTGTTAGACACAACTAGTATGGAGTATTAATCGGCAATTTTATTTTTATTTTTACTTGGCATGGAATTTTGATAAGTTAAGTTATCGTAGAATTAAAGTCACTCTAATTATTACACTTTACATTGCAAAGCCAAATCTCCGGACCAAACTATTATTGATTGAGTGTTTGAATTATTATGTGTACCTTTCTTGGTGATAACAAATATAAGGCTAATATTTAAAAGATACATATGTGGTAACATGTATTGTGTAATCATTGACAATAATGATAATTAATCATAGCCACACATAATACATATGGGAGGGAGAGGGGTACTTACCTTTTTTGTCCCGTGGATGATGGATATTGGTTAATCTTTTTCAGCCCCCAAAAACTTCAAATATTAACTTCAATAATGTTACTTTTTCTCTTAAGACTACTAATGTCTATGTTCAACATTTAATTAATTTAACTTGAATCAAATAAGATTACTATAACGATTAAAACAAATTCAAAATTTTAACATAGCTATTTTTTATTGATTCAAATTTAAAATCTTAGAATAGTCATTTATCAAAACTTTAAAGTAATTACTTTTTTATTTTTTAATAATGAATTTATATATGCATGTTGGCTTTTGGAAGCTAGTTTAAGTTAACTTTATTCAAGGTAAACAAATTCCATTGCCGTTTTAGAATACTGGAACTAAGGTGTAAATTAAAATAAAACCACATCTCTCATCACTTTTCAATTTATAAAGTAGAATTACGTTTTTAAGTTTTAAAAAAAAATATTTTATGTAGAAAAAACAATTACATTAGTTTTCACTGTTTTAAAACAATACGTAAAACAGCAAGCAAAGAAAGTTCAATAAACGTTGTTTAAGTATTTAAAAATGTTCCCTCCAAAGAACATTTAAAAATCTCAGGACATGTCAACGTAAAACTCTTCCTTTAAACTTTCGCTTAGTTTAATCAAAATCCTAAATATAAAAATACTATTCTTTTTACAATGATGACAGAGAAGTTTGAACTTGCAATTTTATGTATGTAAATAATCTTAATCCTTAATTAGTTACTAATTAGCGAATCTTAAACAGCTTGAATTTGTCTTATACAATAACATCTTTTGTTGGGTTGCAAGTATAAACTATTTTGGTATTTTCAAAGCTCAGTTATTGAAGAAATATTCTCTCCAAAACAATGGCTTTCTTCTCACAGTCATGTATATTAATAAACATGGCCCAGAAAATCTTCAAATGTATATTCAATAAATTAAAATGCTCTTTTTGCTTTTCAGTTTGAAGTAGTCATCACTGTATATGTATATTTTGCTGATGGATTTAGACACGGTTGAGCTATGCCCCCACTTGTTCTTAATTATTTATAAAATTCTCATTCTCTATATATATTTATTTTGTAGCTAGCTACCTCTGCAAAACTATAGCATGAATAAGTACTCTATTGGCTTAAGTTTTACTCAACTAATAATTAGTAATTAATTAGTCCAAAACAAAGAAGAAAAGGTAATGTACTCAACTGAAGAAAATTAAAAAAAAAAAACATGAAAAAACACCAATCTTGGTTGCTTAATTGTCTGAGTGCATCACTGCATAATTTGCAAAACATAAGCCATTATAAGACAATAAAATAGCGTCCTTGCATTGCTCAAAAGTGATCCAATTACAACGTCTTGTTCCCAACCCCCTCTCCTTCTTTTTCTTCTCTTTTTAAAGGCGAATAAGACATTACAACTTATAATACTTGCAAAGTCTATGGTTAACAACCACATGCTTTAGGTGAGATTATGTCATCGACCCTCCTTACCACAACCAAGTATTTATATCTTTGACTTGTCATCCTAATCATACACCATCCTTCTTTTTATCTTCCTTCCCTTTTATGGGGATTATTAATAATTATCACTGAGATTATTAATAAATTTATTAACAATGTCATCTAAGATTATTAATAAAAGTATTAAAATTCTATTTATGTTTATATAAAACATTTTAATAGAGGTAGCTGTCTTTGTTCCTCATATTCCATCACGATACAATAGAGCATGCATTTGGAAAATGATGGGAAAGATAGTGTCGCAAATGGTCATAAGATAGACCTGTGTTTTCATGACTTGATATACAATATATTTATTATGTCAACACATAATCATATCGAATATTGTGTGAATATTTTAATTAGTTTTAATTGCATTTTAATAACTTTTTTTTTAAAATTTATATTACAAGTTAGAATACCATAATGTTTAGATAAATTCTAATATTTAGTGTCTATATCAATGACTCGTGTTCATTGATTCAATATTAATTTTTTTCCTGCTATTCAAAACTTTTATTTTATATTAGTTATATTTTTTTCTCTCCCATGCATTTATATATAATTAAGTATTCCCGTATAATTGAGATTAAGATAGAAAATTATTAATAATATTGTAAAATAAAAATGATAAATCAAACAAAAAAATAATTTTTTAATCGTGCAAGAATTAAATTATGTTTATAAACGTATATCAGAAGTTCATCAACATACCATTCTATAAACAAACTAAATTAGTCATATACTTATTAAATTTTAGATACATAAAGTTATATATTTTAAATGCAATATTTTTTAAAATATCAATATAAGTATATAAGCTTTGATTCAAAGCTTTAACTGTAAAAAAAAAATGAAATATGTTTATAAATATTAAAAAAATTAAAACTGCTCAGGCTTAAAGGAAAAAATAGCATCTTAATTATGAACACAAAATGATGAGTTATAAATAAAACTAAGAAGTGATTACATTTTTATTCTTAAATGCTTTTGCATTATGAGTGGGACTGTAAGAGAGAGGTTTCCATACATGATGCATCAAAACTAATTAGAAGAAACCAAAACATAATGTCTTGGGCTTAATGAAACATAAAGAAAATTAATCATTATCTTCAGGAATCGTTGATAAATATCAAAATCGACAAACTTAAAATGTCATATTCTAAATTTGTCACTCTCAAATAAGTTGAATGACATTGAAAATTGAAAATCACATTTAGCTTCTAATTGTCTTTTAAAAATGGAGATGAGCAAGAATCTCATCATTTCATCATATCAACATTGAATAAATCTTTGGAAAACAAGAGTAGACAAACTTAGGAGAATGATTGTGCCGTGCATTAGCTAGTAATCCCTCTGTTACACAAACTTGTTATGAGAAGGATATTCGGTTTTAAAGAAAAAGAAACAGTGTGAAAAATATTGCATTATTCACATACATTTTACTCAGGTTACTAATTACTTTCAGAATTACACTAGTCATAAAAATTTCCATAGTGAGAAATTTAAATATTTTATTATAGACCATATGTTCAATCTTCTATATAATATCATCCGAGAGAAAGAAGGAAATGGTTCATAACATTTAACTTCAAAAAGTATAATTATTTCTTTATTTTAATTATAGAAAGAAAATTAGGTTGGAAATAAGTTCGTCAGCTTCTCTCGTATATAAGTTTGATCTAAATTTGTATATATTAGATACCTCACTTATGGGTAGTAATAAGTTTTTCATCTAAATTTTGTCTTGCATGTTTTTTTTTATGTAATATTCTAGTTTAATTTGACATATTATGTTTCCTTTTTCTTTTTTTTTTTGTATGAAGTTTTATTAATATAAATTATTATCATCAAAAGAAAATATTTAAATTACATAAAAATGACAATTGTAACATTTTATTATGACTAAGTTTTAGATCCCGATTGATATTCGGTTTATAATGTATCTGGAAATTTCTATTAAAAGATATGATATCCACTTAATTTCTCGCAAGAGATTAATCTTATATTATTGTTTCTATAATATCTTTGGTTCAATAAAATGATTTAACCAAAATATTGTATAGAGATTTATAATTTTGAAGATATTGATGATATCGTATTTGAGTAAATATTTCTGATTTTTGAGTGCGAATATTACCACTCTTAAATATTTATTATTATGTTTCAAATTAGTTTTTGTTTAAAATATCATCTTCTCTCTCATGATGATATCAATATTAAATACATATAGTAACAATAAACATATAGAAGTGACAAGAAGCACTCTCCTCAATTTTTAGTCCATCATCCCTTAATGAAGTGTTCATTAATGAAAGTGAACATGTTGCCCAAAATCTTGTTTGTGTGATTAGAAGTAAAGTTAAAATATGTTTAAAATTTGTAAATTGTTAATAAATTTAAAAATAATATATTATTTATTTAATGATAATATAATGTAAATATAATCTCTTATCAAGTTATGTGATATGACTTAAAAATAATTATTAGCGCAATACAATTAGATATAAGATATGTTCAATATTAAGTGATGTTAGTAGATTGAAACGAGTTGAGTGAATTAAATTACCATAAATGAATTGAAAATATAAAAGTGAAACTCCTCTGAATATGTATATGTATGTATATGCAGCACTCGATTGTTATCTTGTTCCGTGTGTAAACCTCTTCTCGAGAAGTGAAAAGTATATAAATGGAAAGCAAGAGAGGAAATTACAGTGTTGGTTTTACCTAATTGAAGACGAGAAAGAAAAAACACAAGTTAAAGGCATGCATGGGCATGTTTGTTGGTAAAAAATACAAATTCTGTTGACTCACCACACTCATCACTTTCTACTCTCCACCAAACACAATAACAAAAAACCTTCTTCCCTCTTCCCCTCCTTTTCTTTTCTCCATTCCATATTTCCATTCCATTCCATGCCATGCCATGCATCTCTCTCTCTCTAAACAAATTCTAAGTAAACACTCGTTCGTTCTCGCCTTTCACTCACACAATTCTTCAAACACCTTATAATAAAAATAATAGCATCGTTCTCTGCATGGAACACCGGCGAAAATTATCACGGCGTTAACAACCCCAATGGCTTCCACCAACTCCACCTCCACCGAACCCGACCCACTCACCCCTTCCCTCCTCGATGACGTCGCCGTTAGAGCCGTTAACAAGCGTTACGAGGGTCTTCTGACGGTGCGGACGCGAGCCATAAAGGGAAAAGGCGCGTGGTACTGGGCCCACCTCGAACCCATTCTGGTTCGCAACGCCGATTCAGGCGCGCCCAAGTCCGTGAAGCTCAAGTGCTCCCTCTGCGACTCCCTCTTCTCCGCCTCCAACCCTTCTCGAACCGCTTCCGAACACCTGAAGCGAGGAACATGCCCCAATTTCAGCCATTCGTCGTTGCCGTCGCCGTCGCCGATTTCCACCGTGCTTTCCGATTCCAAACACAGGAAGAGAAGCTCCCCTAATCAAATTCAAAACCACTCCTTGGCTATGGTTGAACAGCTGGGTTACTCTCAGGTGGTGCAGGTTCAGGAGCAGTTGAACCATCAGAGTCAACAGCATTTGGTCTTGTCTGGCGGCAAAGATGATTTGTGTGCTTTGGCTGTGTTTGAAGACAGTGTGAAGAAGCTCAAGAGTCCTAAGAATTTGTCACCTGTTGCTGTTCCTTCTTTGACCAAGGATCAGGTTGACTCCGCCCTTGAATTGCTTGCAGATTGGTTCTTTGAGTCTTGTGGCTCTGTGCCTCTCTCCACTCTTCAACACCCTAAATTTCAAGCCTTTCTTGCCCAGCTCGGTTTGCCATCATCTTTGTTGGGACGTGAGATATCGGGTTCTAGGCTTGAGGATAGGTTCAAGGTGGCCAAGGCTGAGTCTGAAGATAGAATAAGGGATGCAATGTTTTTTCAAGTGGGGTGTGAGGGTTGGAAGAGCAAGGAGTGGTGTTGTGGAGGAGGGGATGGTTTGGTGAAGTTTACTGTGAATCTTCCGAATGGGACTAGTGTGTTCCAGAAGGTGGTGTTCACTGGTGGGGGAGTGGTGTCTTCCAAGTATGCAGAGGAGGTTTTGTGGGAGACTGTGAATGGTGTTTGTGGGAGTGGTGTTGTGCAGAGGTGTGTTGGAATTGTTGCAGACAAGTTTAAGACCAAAGCGTTGAGGAACTTGGAGGTTCAGAACCATTGGATGGTGAATGTTTCTTGTCAGCTTCAGGGATTCATTGGTTTGATCAAGGATTTTAGCAGCGGCCTCCCACTTTTCAGGGTTGTCACTGAGAATTGTCTTAAGGTTGCTAATTTTATAAACACTGAGTCTCAGGTTAGGAGTAGCTTTCTCAGATACCGGATGCAGGAGCTGGAGTGTGCCGGGTTGGTTCGAGTTCCCTCGCCCAAATGTGATGTGTTGAAGAACTTTGCATCTGTGTTCCCAATGCTGGAGGACATCCTGAGCTGTTCTAGAGTAATCCAAATGGTGATGTTGGAGGACACGTTTAAGGTGGCGTGCATGGAGGATCCACTGGCCAGAGAAGTTGCCGGGATCATTCAGAGTGATGCGTTTTGGAATGAACTGGAGGCAGTTTATTCACTGGTGAAGCTTATCAGAGGAGTAGTTCAGGATATTGAGGCTGAGAGGCCATTGATTGGTCGATGCCTGCCACTTTGGGAGGAGGTTAGAACCAAAGTGAGGGAATGGTGTGCCAAGTACAGTGTTGTGGAAGAACCTGTGGAGGAAATACTTGAAAAACGATTCAGGAAAAACTATCACCCTGCATGGTCAGCTGCATTTATACTTGATCCACTTTATTTGATTAAAGACACTAGTGGAAAGTACCTTCCTCCATTTAAGTGCTTGACCCGTGAACAAGAGAAAGATGTAGATAAATTATTGACGAGGCTAGCTTCCCGAGAAGAAGCTCATGTTGTGTTGATGGAGCTAATGAAATGGAGAGCAGAAGGGCTTGATCCGCTTTATGCACAGGCTGTACAGATGAAACAACGAGACCCGATTACGGGGAAGATGAAGGTTGCAAATCCACTGAGCAGTAGACTTGTTTGGGAAACTTGCCTGAGTGAGTTTAAATCCCTGGGGAAGCTTGCAGTGAGGCTCATTTTTCTGCATGCAACTTCATGTGGATTTAAGAGTAGTAGCTCTTTCATGAGGAAGATTTCTGCACATAAGCACTCAAGAATTTCCTTGGAAAGAGCTCAGAAAATGGTATATATTGCAGCTCATGCCAAGCTTGAAAGACGAGACTTTTCCAATGAGGAAGAAAAGGAAGCAGAACTGCTTGCCATGGCAGGTAGTGATGATGGCAATGGCATGCTGGTTGAGGTCTTTGCTGATGCACCCCTATTGTAATGTGCTTCTTTTCTACTCCTATAGAATTTGTAATTTTAGGATTTATCAGATTTTTTTTTCCAGAACTGTTCTATTATTCCCTTATTCCTAGTGAAAAATATTTTGTGACTTGTGATTGAAACAAAAGGATATTGGAAGAGACTTAAAAAGCGTGTCATGACTGTTATATCATCTTTGATTCAAATGAATCATTAGTATTTTTTCCTGCCATTTTTTGGATTTCGTAGGTTTGTTGAGGAGGAACCATTGTTCATTTATTAGCAAAACAACAATTCAGGAAGAGGGCCAGAAAAATACCATAAAACGTCTGCTTTAATAATTTGTAACAAGAATTGTTTTGAGCCTTATTCTAGAATTAATTTTACAATTTATGATATCTTAAAAGGCTGAGCTTCATTAGATCTTGCGAATGAATATATGAAATTGGTCATAGTGAACTACGTCATGTTTAGTCTCTACCTCGTCTGTGAAAATTGAAGTTCTAATTGTCTGAAATGCTCAATACTAAGACCTGAATTTAATCCAGTTCCACAAAATGCCCATGGTATCGGTTGAATTACTATCCCAGTCTCAGTTTCAGAAAAACCGTAAACATCTTTCTGAATTGATTATTATCGTTAAATTTCTGTGGACCATTTTTTAGCTGTTGAACCTGATACGATGTTGACACCAAGCACTGAAGCAAGATATTCAGAAATTTAAAGCTAACTGAATTGATGGTCAATATGAAAAATTATAATGACAGGAGGAAATATTGTGGCTGGAGCAATTTCCTTTTTTTACGTTGAAAGACCGTTTTTCTTTGGAGGGAACTATTAACTTCATGTCTTCACATGAAAGTGGAAAAAGCATCCTACAACAGTCAATGACTTTGGTATATGCATCTCATTGATACTTCATGTCTTGATATGACATAACACCGTGCATAATCTAGATTCTGCTTGTCATGATCAGTTGTTTGAGTAGAACAAGATGAAATATCTCACTGTTTGACCAGCTGACCTCCATCCCATCCAAAGACCATAGTGTTCAAGTGTAGTTCCAAACTCAGTTGACCAAGAACAAAAGGTTCACCTGCTTCGAGCAAACTGCTTGATTTAGGGGCTTGAGGTGCACATAGGTTCTTTACCAAAATGGAGTTTTCTTGTTTCTCAAGTTCTATAGACGAACTTGTTGGACTTATCCCAAATGTTTTGCTAGACAAAGAAGGGCATATATTAGCAATTATTCATATATTGTTCTAATAACAAATAATTAAATTCTTAATATCAGATGAAACACTTCTTATTCATCTAATCAGTTGTCTTTTTTAGCCGTAAGTTACTGATAATTTCACCAGTCAACAGATATTAAGAACAATCATGCTATTGCAAACCAGTGAATCAGTAACTAAGCAGAAATCCACTTTCAAGAAATATTCGACTTTCAAGTTTTGAGTGCAATAATTTCTGAACAATATTTGCCATTCCCTCAGTTTCCCTCTTTCTGAGAAGACTATCGATGCATGTGATTGCCGTCCCTTTTATGAAGTGGAAACTTATTGGCAGGCCAATTTTTTGCCTCACATTTTATATTGATTCCAGTTTTGGATTATTTTGTTTCCAACAGTTCACCACATTCACACAGTACCATCCCCCACTAATATCTTTTTTACTCCTAAAAGGAAAAACGCAGCAGCAGATATATCTGTTGGAATACTTCTAATAAATTTTCTTCATTACGAGAGATTATTTGATTCTGTTATCTTATAATTTGAAAGATAAAATGGGAACACTGATTATCAAGAAATTTTTAATGAAATGCTCTGAAGACCAAAATCTATTGAGAAATCTGCTAAAATTTATAATATTTTGGTTTACACATGACATTACATGCTGTGGTTGGATAAAATTTTGATGTAGAAGGAAACTACAAAATGACACAAAAGTAGAAGGCTCCCATAAATTGAATGTTACTTTTTGCTGCAGAGTTGGAATTGCTTGAAGCAGTTGGGTGGGTGGCAAACCGGACTTGGTCATGACGTGGGTCAACCTCGGAAGAACATGAGAAAGAATCTTTGTTGCTGAAGAAGCACTTCTTATAGATAATCCGGCATATCTACTGGAGTGTTTGTTTCTGACAAATGGTTAGGCCCACCACGGAGGAAGTGGCTGTCCATGTCACTGCTTTGGTTGTCATGGTCAAAGAAAAGTGAGGTATGAGTGGCCTTCCTTTACATCAATCCACTCTCTGTTTCTGTGCGTGTGTTTATTATTGTTTTTGGCTTAGCTAATGTCCCACAACCTTTGTTTTCAAAAACCATTAATTTTTGTGATAATATACTTTTTTAATGGGGCCTGATGTAAACTGTTTATCTTAACGTTGAAAATTGTAGGTTTGCAAATGAACCGTTTGGCTTGCATGATTGCTAAAAAGTCTTGGAGAAAGTTGAAGCAAGGAGTGTAGAAAAAGAAAAACAAAGGGAAAGCAAGGAGGCCTGTCGGCATAAGGAGATGCATAATATGGGCGAGGGATAACATTGCAAATATGCTACATCATAAAGCTTTTTTGCATGTATGTTCACGGTATTATTCATGTTTTAAACCATGAACAGTAAGCTGGTAGTTCTATACTTGTGGAAGAATGACACTCTCATATCATTTTTACACTCTTCTTGTCATAGTCATATCAAATGCATATGACACCCTTTTTGACGTCATACTTTTGCAAACATCAGAAATTGATGTTAGCAAATTCTGACATATGACACATACTATCAATTTATTGCATGCATTCTCCACTCTCTTAGTCAATAATTAAATAAACTCTTTACAATAAGGTGGTGGAAATGGAACTACGTTTGCCTCTCCATTCGTGCACATAGATAGGTTCAGAAATATCGTGTGCATGTAACATTTAAATCCACAAAATAAAGAATTTGGCTGTTGATAACTTCGATAACACCACGGCAATCTATGATCTATCCCCTAAGGTTTTAGATTGTTTCTTAAAGTTTAATATAAAAAAAGCCCATGTGTATTTGCACTGTCACGGGTAGTTTATTAGATATGCTAGTGCATCTTAGAATTTCTCCTTTTAAGTTTCTCCATTCACATCAAAGCCAGAAATAATGGAAGTTACTGCGCCTCCTTAAATGACTAGCAAAGAGTCAAGCAAAGATGTGAATGAAAAAGTTACATGGGCTATCAGAACTCATTAGTAGAGTAGAATGCTGTATTGGTGATTTGATAATTGATTTAACTTTGTAATCAATTTCGTGTAGTGACAGTGGATCATGTCGGCAAGGCGAAGCAATTCTGACTTCCTACCAACTCAAAGGTATTTTTGTGTTTTTATTTTTATTTTTGGTGAGTTCTTAATATTCCTTTCCTTGTGTGCTGTATGGTATACTTCATTTATCGTCCAGTCTGGTCCTTGTATAGGAGAGCAGAATGTGATGATTGGCACAGGGACAATGCCTTACAAGAGTCTTCATAGTTTCATGTTCCCTCATGATTAATCATCCTTTCAGTGTCGCTTTTCTTCTTCCTACTTAACATAATCGTTGTTTCAAAAATGGGTATGGTGCTAAGTGGGCCATACTTGACCAAAATTTAAATCTTGATTAAGGAAATTGATGGTAGTGTTTCCTAATCGCCAGAGCACTCCTTGTAGGAATACCTTGGTTTGAAAAAAAAAAAAAGAAATGAAGATACATGTAAGAATAGATAATTCCAGTGGCATGCTGTATCTGTAATATTTTGACACCTAAACATTTTTTTCTTTCATTATTCATTAAAAAAAGGAAGAAAGAGCTTTTTCATTACCATGTTTCTATGGTCATAGAACTAATCAGCAAAAAATTTCAGTAATCATGGGAAAAATTAGAAATACACACAACAGATTCAGAAAAATAGTGCTGTATTTCTTCGGTTTTGACGATTCAATATTTCATTTTCATTCCTACTCTGCAGTCGCTGTTCTGGAGATGCAAAAGTTAATTAATCTTAAAGTGTACATCTTAATATTAAAAGAATTTTTTTGGGGCTGATTTTAAATACAGTTGTTACTCCCTATTTGTCTTTTTTTAAAGCGAGTTGGTTAATATGATGACAATGATTGCATTTAAGTCAAATTCCTCTCCTATAAAATTGCAGACAGTAGTTTTTTGCTTGTCTATCAACCAGCCCTAGGCTCCCACAATGTAGAGGGAAACAAAATGCTTGAATTTTGAAATTGAATTCAAGACTACATATTTAAGCAATCTAAAAATTCTTTTATCTCAAACCAACACATATCGATCAAGTTACTGTCATTATCTTTCCTTTGAAGATTTTAAAATAGGAAAATGTTTATTTGACATTATTTTGGTTTTCATCCTTGTTTATATTTGTACTGCAATAGGCTAAAAAGTGAAAAACTTTAAAAAAAAAAAAAAAAAAAGGTTGAGATGTAGGTACAACTTTTCAAAAAATGAAAGACAAAACTTACGTGCAGTTATTTAGGTATTGTTGGTGTCTTTCGTTAATTAATTTTAGAGTTTTACTTCAATAATATGCAACAAAATTAAACGTAAATATTTTATTAAAATATAATTCTAATTTTAATTATTAAACAACACAATCAACATTTAAGTTCTCTCTAAAAATTGTATATATATATGAAATGTAATAAAAATTGATGTAAAAAATTGCATCTCTTTAAAATATAACTTACCCTATACTTGTCATTGACTTAGATATTTTCATACACTCCATTATACTACTATTACTTGAATGTTTCCTTTCAATGCTTTACTTTTGTTTGTACATTGATAAAACAAATTTCGGCACTATTGCGGTGAGAAAACAATTAACAAACAAGTACACCGTTTGCAAAGCTCTTCTCTGATAACAATCTCTCTCTCTCTCGCTCTCTCTCTCTCTCTCTATATATATATATATACACATATATTAAATCCAATAATAATGCCGCAAATATAGCATTCAAATGCTTAATTATTTGGACACGACATGTGTTTTTAAATCGGAAAACAAAGAAGTTGCCTTTAGTTTATTCTTTTGTTGTTTTGATCTTAACTACTTCAAGTAGGTTGAGTTTGTTTTAAGGAAAGTTGCTTCTTTTTTTGGGTTGGAGTAGAAAGTACCCGCTTAACATATTTTCTTGTGTTTGGTACAACCATATATTCTATAATCAACTTGTTCCAATTCATTTAATGCGAGGAAATGCTTATACTAAAATTTATTGGAAAATGTATCATTTTATAAAATTATTGGAGAAATATTTTTTGAAAATATCCTAAATAATATTTTCAAATAATTTTTTTTACTAAAAATAGGGATATTAGGTCACTGGACTGAAGCATCCCTATGTAATTTGGGATTTTTACCTGATCTATCTATATTTAGTTTAGATTAATTTTTGTGTTTTTTCTTAATCATTAAAGAACTCCTTCAAAAGAATAGTGTGAATAAATAAAAACGAATAAGATATTCTCTTAAAATGCGATCCTATTATTTCTTCTCTTATTTTATTAAAAACATTAAGTAAAACATAAATATATTTAACATCTTGAAAACAGAAGAAGTTTTAATCTTTTTTTACAAGAGTAAAAAGATGTTATAGAAAAATTTATAATTATTCAATGAAAAGATAGGGGATAGTCTAACAAATAATACAGTTAAATTATGTCTAAATGTTAATTACAGATGAACAACTGTTGATATCGCAAGACTTCAATATAGTCTTGAGTTCGTTTTCGTTTTCTGTGAGCAGTCCTTCATTAGTATTTAAAAGTTTTATTATAATTACAAAAAAAAAATTGAGGGAAAAATACAAAATAGATATGAATTTAACTGAATATTATAATATTATTAAATTATATGCTATCATAATAATAAATTAATTTCGATTCTGATTCCAACTATCTAAAAGGTGAACCCTTTTCAATCTAAATTCATTAGTTAACATAAGGATCCAGACCCCCTTTTTGACAAAAAGATTGATTATCTCTGGCGTTTGGGATTGCCAAATACTTCACAGGGAAAGAAGTGCCACGATTATGAGGCTCATATTAAATTTAAATCGAGGATTTTTCAATTATATGGCATTTGTTTATGGTGTGACTATCTGGTTTCAAAGAGATGATAAAGTATCAATTCCGAATAGTGTGGAACAATGACATATGATATCATACTAAGGCTTAGTGTGGAGGTATCTATTTTCCATTTAATTGCTGACATATTATGATAATATCTTATTAGTATTACTCAAAACATCGTTCATTATAAATAACTCAGTTATTAATTCCTCTTCTCTAACCCTCCATTTTTGTCTGGCTTAAGCAAATGGTCCTACTGAATAGACATTTCATATAATAACAAATAAAGAAATACTAGCTTGTCAAATTAGACATTAACTGCAATTGTTATTTTACAGCTTACACTTGTTAGGAGACTTACTTTAAGTACAAGGCATTATGTGCCATTTCTATCACATGGTATGTTACTTTTGCAGTTCTCACTTAATTCCTGACCCTACAAACATTGCCAAGACAAAATTCTCTCTGCATGAGATTTCTTTCTTTTCTCATCCTGTCTTCTCTGATTCTCCCACCAATCTATGGCATAATTGGCTCTTGTGTAAGTGGTCCCAATTTAATTAGAAAAGAAATAGAAGAAATAATTGTGATCCTATACTATTATTAGTTTATTACACAGACCCTCAAATTTTACTTTGGTTATATGAGAGGATGGGCCCTAGCATTAGACAATAGACAGAGTAATACATAAAGGGGAATGAGTGAGGTGAGGGGTAACAATTTAAGAGTGCACATATGATATTACCAATCAGTAAGGCTTTTAATACTCAATTGGATTAGGCTACTTTGGGAAAGTGACCAACAAATAATCATTCGAACTTGAAAGGTAACCATACCCTCTATCTGAAAGTAATAGATGGTGATCTTGTGACATTTCATTCAAAGATAATGCAGTTTTCAAAAATAATTTTCCATTTTGGTAAACAATTCAAAAGGGTTCAAGTGCAAAGAAAAATCCGTTTAGCATAAAAAGATAAACAACAATTATTTAGAAGGAAAAACCAGTGTTAATAATTGATTTTTGTCGTTTTTACTAGTTAGAACTTAACTCTCGGAAGAAAGAATAATGTAGTCATCAAATAAATATCCGCCATACCTTACCCATAATATTGCTTATCGCGTGTGATGATTACGAAGCTTTATGTTACTTATCTTCCTCAATGTCTTTCATTGCATTCCTCTGTTACTATAATTATTGTTTTACATCCCAGACATACTTCAAGTGACCAACCAAACATACATCAACTTGATCAACTCAAAAGATCTAAATTCAACTAACCATATCCTTAGATGCTTAGTTTTATTGGGTTCATCATAGCTTGGAGTCTTTTCCGATTTCAATGCTCGTCGTTTTGTCAAGTCCACATTACATTAACCTATTTGTACTCATGAAAACATGTGTAGACACTTTCTATTTATTTTCAAAATTTATTCTAACTTCTTTTAAAATGTTGCAGTAGATTCCAAGATACTACGTAATTGATCAATCTTGTTGCTTACTTCAGATTAATTTTTCTATTATAATAACAACTCTAATATCATTCGCCAACCTATGAAAAACGCCAAGAATAAATACAATCTATTTGAACCTAAAAACTTGAATTGAGATTAAGAAAACCAAATTATAACAAGTTCAAACTGAGAAATATCTAAAAATTTGGATCAACATTGTGAGAAGAGGATAAATAAGAGAAAAAAAGAGATGAAAGATCAAAGCTAAGATGATTAGTGATGAAAAGCCCGTGCTTTGACATGATTTAAGCCCTATTTAAGATGATAATGTTTTCATCATGTTCCTGCTAAAAATTGATATAAAAGTTTCAAATTTTGGTGTTTATTTTCCAAACAATCAAATTAGATAGGTTCTGATACTATAATAGGAAAAATCTACTCCTAAAAGTTAGGTAATAGAAAGATAATTGTTCAAGTTTTATGAGAAGTATTTTGATCATAATCTTTGCTGACCTGAAACATTTTAACAACATGATCACGTGCATTCAAAAGTGAACAATGCTGATATAATCTCAATGTTGTTACATTGAGAATTTGGTATACTCACACACACTAGTCAGAATGTGTACTCGTTTGAATATGATGTGTCTTTTCTTTGTTCTAATGTGGTCATATTGGTGTGGTCACATTGGCTTTTAGGGATGGTTAATTATGCTTGCACTCCTATAATCGATTAACTTAATTTTTTCTTGACTCGTTTCATTTAGATGTTCCCTATGTCAATCAATCCATCGAATTTCAATGTTATAGAGCTAAAAATTGATGAAACTCAAGCTAATCCAGATGATGATGAATATTATACAATAGCACTAATGATTCCTCTAATTATCATGAGAAATATATGGATTTATGCTCTAATTGCTTTTTAAATTCACCTATGAAGTAGATTTGTCACCTATTAAACCATTTTTTAAATAAAAGTTAAAAATATTTAAAAGTTAAATTATTATTATTCACACTTCTTATCTGTCACAAGCTAAAATATCATGTATACATCCAAGTGAGCCGGTCATTTTTCTATAATTTTGTAGTTAATTTTTTTAGATTTATTTATAAGAAATAATTATTACTTTTTTTTAAATATAAAAAATAATTTGTTAATGCATTAATTGCTAAGTTTTTTTTATTGATATCTTTGTTTATTGTAAAATTTGTGTTAACGAGGTACCAACTCTTTATACATAAAAATATATATGTTTATTTATTTATTTATTTTTGCTAATGAAATAGATATATTTATTTATCTAACATATGACAAACTAACTTAATCATTTAATACTATTAGTATTTCTAAAATAAGAATATAAATTTATAATATATAATTACTTTTTATACCATTTAATGAATTAGATACTTATTTTTTATAAACAGAATCGAAAATAGTATAATGTTAAAACTTATTTGTATTTTACAACCTAGTAGACACAGATGGAGAACACAACTGTTTTTTTTCTCATTTTATTTTAACTTTAGCTTTTTATTAATTTTTAGATTTTGCGATCAAATATTGCATTGTTTTGCGCAAGTCGATGTTATAGCTTTAACTCTTAACTTTCAGAAGTTGAATGATTAAAGAAGAGATAATCACGGATCTTGTTTTTCATCGAAAAATACTTTAATTTTGAGCATTTCGCCACCCTGAGTCCCATTTAAAGCTCAAAATCTGTAGTTTGACTTTGATTTAAAAGAAAATATATAACTTTTAATCATAAAATATATTCTTAGAAAATAATGTGTGATCTACAACAAGAAAAATTATTTATTATGTGCGACCAAAGATATTTGTATTGAAAATAATAATTCTTTAAGGGTGGATGTAGCATTCCACGATGATAGTATATAGTTCAAGTGTGAGATGGTCCTTGTAAAACGACAACCTGAACTCCTTGCAAATATCATGTTTAACATTAATATTTTTGTCGTTTTATTTAAAGCTTAACTTTCGAAAGCTTAGTGCAGTAATCAAATCTCCAATTTACCTTACCTAACTAATAATATCATGTATGATCATTACAACCTTTCACTCTCTTTATTTGTATTTTTATATTATGATTATTGTTGTACCCAAACAATGCTTACAACTGGCCACCAAAACATATTAATTATTCAACTCCATTTCGTAATAAAATAACATATTTTCCATTGGATCACTTTAAACGGTCTACACTAAAATTGCACCTAATTATAATCATTTGTTAATATTCTTTAGTTTACTGGATTCAGCTCAACCAATCCACGCTTTTCATTTTTATTAAGTATACATCACTTCAACCTATTCTATAGTCTCATGTCAACGATTTGTTTTTGGTTTTTTTTTTTTTTTCTTCAAAATTATACTCACTAACTTCTTTAACAAATGTTCCTTTTACCTTTTAGGAGCTGCATGGTTAAATTTCTAAGCCTCTTGAGTCATGTCCAATTAATAGTCTTAATCGTCGCAGCAATATATAAAAGTTGAAATACTGTTCTTCACATCTTTAATTAATTTGTCATCATATATGGCTTTAATCTAACTTAACTTTCTCCTAACTCCTTTTTATTTTTTTCGGATATGTTTAGCTCCAAACTTCTAGTTGTAAGAAAGCTGCATGATTAAAAGAAGAAGTAATCACGGATCTTGTTTCTCGTTCAAAAAATACATGTTGTTCAAGCATTACAGCAGAACCCTGAGGCCCCATTTAAAGTCTAAATTTTAGAATTAGTTCTAAAAAGTAAGAACTTTTCATCATAAAAGTATATTGCGACATATACAGTTTACGACAAGAAAAATGTTAATCATTTGAGACCAAAGATTTTGTATTAAAAAAAATGTCATAAGAAAGCCAAGACTAGCCACTTTACCCTTTTAAAACCTCCATTCAGCAAGATTTCCTATGCTTGATTCCTATATCAGAACATTTATTTTGTTGGTTTATATATATGTTGGTGCAACTACGATAGTTAAGAGGATCTTATCAATGTTTGTACTCTTCTCCACAAAAGCAACTCTCCTCTACCATGTGTACATATGTATACACCTCAAAAACTTTTTTATTTTGATTAGCAATTAATTATTGTATAAATCCTTATAATTTAAATGACTATAGATTAGCACAAAGGCTGATTAAACTAAAATGAGCTCTTCCTTGTAATTAATTCCCTAATTACCCTATCCCTTAAGCAAAAGTGAGCTAATTGGATTCAGAGCAAGAGAGTGAACAAGAACCCCTGCCCTCATGTTATTTTTTTTTATGGTCAACTCCCCTCCAGTTCTTAAGAATAACCCTTTAATTTTGGTCCAAGAATTAATCCCTTTTCTGGTGCAACGGTCCATTTTCTCTTGGTCAAGTCAACCATCATTGAATAACTTCCCATGAGTTTTTGGTGTAAGAATAACCCCTTAAAAAATGTCTCATTAACAAGAAAAACATCTGGACTGGACCAACCCTTCGAAGAGTGAAGACCAAAATGAAAAGGCCGAAAGAAACTAAAGCAAAATGTTGTATGGGCTCTGCCTAAACACCAAATCTAAGTGCAAATGGATGGACCAAAATCAGAAGTCCAAACCAGAATTGGCTTGACGCAGGCTGTTGATTCACGGAATGATGATGGAGGGTCTGCGAAGGTTAGAAAAAATACTTTAATTTTTTTATTATACTATAATATTGACCCAAAAAAAAGAAAAAATACTTTATTCAGTAAAAACAAAAAATAATTATAATAAAGTTTATTATTATTATTATTGTCGCAGTCGTCGTATAAGTTCTATTAATGTAATTCTGATATTTTTCTCTTTCATGAAAATTTTTATTTTGTATTTTTATATTAATACAAGAAGATCTTCATTCTGCGTAAATCAGTAAATGTGCCAGCGAATATCTGTAAGGAAAACGTAGATAAAGTTGTATAGTAGTGAATGTAAAACCAACGTGGATAGTGCTTTTAGTTCCATGATGGTAACTTGTGAAGTGTATCTGGTTGCTTTTAGTTTCATAAAATATTATATAAGATGTCTCGCATTTGTTAAAAATAAAGTAAGAAAATTTTTATAAGAGTTTATAAATTATTTTCTAAAAGAGAATTAGACTTAAATTTCTTAATATGATATCAGTATTTATCTAATTTGAATGTTGGACTACTCATGTATATTTAATTTTGTTGAATCACATAAAAATATTTAATTATGTAAACTTCAAGCATTAATAGAGTACTATTAAATGAGTAATATGATCGTCGGAAGGTTAAGATAAATTGTTTTAGTTCCTAAAAAAAGAAAATTAATAAAATATTTTAAAATATATTTCATTTATTGTGTTGGTTTTAAAGTCAATATCAATTACTTATTATTAACATTCTTATTTATGTGGTACCTTTAATGCTGTATAGGATGTTTATGTAGTGCTAGTATCTATATATTTTTTTCCTCTTCAAAGACTCACAGAGCATGTAAAGACAATACTCAATCAAAATTCAATCTCTCCATTATTGTGGTTGTGAATATTAAGGATAATGATATCATAAATCACTTCTATATTTGTGGATAAAATATTTGCTTCCGAATCATTTTTCAACATCTAATTTTCAGACACACTTCATTCTCAGTCATAGTACCTATATATGCCTTCACAACCATGTACACAAGTAGAAGACACTAATCAATATAAATTGTTACAGTTTCCTCCTTCAAAGATCGAGCATGTGTCTATTCTAAGATAAACACACGTTTTCTCTTTCCATACTCTTAAAATAACAAATCAGTTTGTCCCGTGACAATATTAAAAATAAAACATCCTAGTCCTTATATTCAATGAATAAAAGGGCTAAAATATTTCACATTTAGAGACTATTTGGTGACTCTTCTTCAAAGACCAAGTTAGGAGTGAATTCTTCCAGGGACAAAATTCGGCATTCACTCCACCAAAATCAAAATAAAGCATAGATGTTACGGCTTCTCATGGAAAAAAATAATAATAAAACAAACACCAAAAGATCAACAATTTTTCTTTGTTGTCCTTTCAACTTCTTCCTCGCAGAACTATGGTTACTGGTTAGTGGTTTTAAATGGCTTTGAAGCATAATTCCTGAGCTTTTGAAGGATCTTTCTTTCACTGATCCGCAGCATCAAAGAATGATGCTGCTTTTTTTCTCTAACATTACGACACCTTCCCAATGCCTCAATATCATCTTCAATTGATTTCAAACCGTAGAGACTCTCCTTCATATCAGCAAGTGACAGCAGAGCATCACTTACTTTTTTAGTCAGCAACGATTTATTGCTCATATTAAAGGTTTCCCTTGATAAGATATGATTATTCAAAAGAATGGTTTCACTTGATTCATGACAATTTCCAGCAATTGATACTGAAAGGTCTAACTTATGGTAGGCATCATCTGGTAATAAAATGATGTATAATAAAATGAGGAGCTCAATCTGCGGTTCTCCATCAAATGAGATCTCAAAATATTCACTGTTTTGGCTGCCACACGCAGAATAGCCTAACCTCCTCCAAAGGGAGGCTCTTGCTCTACCGTGGCGGTCAGAAAACAATGAAGAACACCATTGCAGTAACAGTTCCAAATCAATGTTCACAATATCATAGGAATTGTCTTGCTCAGTAAATCCATATCTATGAAGCAAAGCAGCATTACCCAATAACTCGTAAGTATTAAATACCAGATAGGCAAGAGTAGCATAAAAGAAAATTATATCTAATATCTTGCATCAAGAGTAGCATAGCAACTTTGGCAGTCATTGAACATTTCAAATTAAAATGAAAAACATTTCCAAAATTATCAGAACAATAAATAAACATATATTACCGAGTTTCATTTATGTGATTACGCAAGACTAATTACTTATCCACGAAAGTTAAGAAAATCACATAACTGAGGAAAATTCTGACCTCGGCTCCACTGCTGACATCTGTTATCATAATCATCTCCAGCATTGAAGTATCACCCTCAGTAACTGAAGAACTATTCGACTCACTAACAATGCAGTTCCCAACATGAGCAGTCTCTAACGCAGTCACATCTATAGAGGAATTTTGAGCCAATGCTGCTTCATCAACAATGCCCTCATCATTGTTAGAACCATCAACATCAGTATCAGATTCATAATTAGAGGGCATAGCAGTGAAATGCACATCCTCTGCACCCGTTTTATGATTGAATCTAGAGCAAAGCACGTTATAGACATTATTAGAATAGGAAAGCCTTCATATCTAGATCACAAACATAACAAGGAAACACAGACACTTCAATATAAGTAGTTGTGTCATGTTGACACTTAGAATACTCTAAATTACATTTTACATTTTTCTTTTACTTTTATTTTGTAAAACTTCTATAAAAATACTAATGGGAATATTACAATAATTAGATAAACTGCAACAATTTTTTAATGTCTACAGTGATTCATTTAAAAGTTAAAGTATCATTTCTATCTTTTGAATTATATTTGTATCTTATGCTAATTTTATACGTTGTATTATAATTGTGTTGTGTCCTATTATTTTTAAAATTTTGGAAATCCCCATATCTCTGTGTCACATTGCATTTGTATCATGTTTGAGCTTTTTAGCACATAAATCACTTTATGCAGATTACACATACTCCCAGTCTCTCTGGAAAGTTTGGCTTTTCCTCTTATGTAAATTAAAAACCTCAAAAGATATTGATGAACCATAGCAGTTCTTGAATAGTATACTAACACAAGCAGGCATTACTTTCTAGACAGGATAAATTTCTCAGGATCCACTAAACTTGAAAAGGCTTTAATGCTAGCACTCAAAATTATCATTCAACCAAGATTAAAGAATTGCACACTTCCTTAAAAAATAGCAAATAAAGGGGTACTCTGAAACTATAAAAGAAAATCAAGTTCAATACCAGAGGCTTTACTTACAAATCTGCCAGGGAAAGCATGCCATGACCATGATAATCATCAATCTCAAAAGATCGTGAAGATATAAGACTTTTCGCTGCAAAGTATTGTTCGATACAAAAGAATTTTGGGTTAAGCTTTGGAGGTGCTAAATCCAATAGGGGAAGAATACTCTCTTTCCAGTCCTCATGTATAAGACCTTTGTCTTCTTGCACTGCGTTTCCGGCCGTCGCGCTGGGAATCGCGCCCAAAAAACAGACAATATCTCGGAGCAATTTCATCCGCGGTCAAATATCGAATTTACCCTTCCTTTCTGAACGTTGGGCAGGGGGCAATCTTGGGATTTCGCCCCCTACATTCCTGATATCTTCTCGTAAGCTGGCCGTAAGCGTAAGTCTCATTCTCATCTCTCAGTTCTCCTAGTTCTCTTCTTCTTCATCTTCTGCCACATCCTCGTTTCCGGTTTTCTTCTTTATCTCCGGCGAAACTTTTGACGCCGATAGCAGTCATTTTCTTCATCTCTGGCGAAGCTTCCGACGTGACCCAAACGTTTGCTGGTCGTCTTCTTCAACTCCGGTGAAGCTTCCGACGCGACTCAGACATTTACCGGTCATCTTCTTCAGCTCCGGCGAAACTTCAGGCGAACCTCCACGTTTTCCGGTGACTGACCATTCTTCTGCAGTTTTTTTGCTATTCTTTTTCAATTACGATGATAGTTGTTGCATTTCATGACTGCGACTTTTGCAGGAACCCCTGTTATGAGTTATTGATTGCTGTTTATAAGGAGGGAACTGGGAAAGACTACAGTTTTTATTGAGTTGCATGGTCAAACCGGTTTGATTAATTTGTTTTCTTTTTGAGGATAAGGAAAGAGTATGGAAGGGTTATTGAATTCTTTGCTAAACCAAAGTTGTTTAAAACCCTTTGGTTTTGCTCCAAGACTTAGTTATAATTTTCCAGAGATCACGAGAAATAGGCATTTAAATCGAGAACCCAAGTCTTGCACCCTGAGAAGTAATTGCGCACGTTTAGGTAGAGACACTACCACTGGCTCCAGAGGAGCCAGTGTTACTGCACTGGATGGTGATGATAAAGGAGAGGAGTCTAATATGGACTGGGAAGTGGAGTTCCTTGGGGAACTGGATCCATTTGGTTACCGGGCTCCTAAGAAAAGGGGAAAAGAACAGAGGTCAAAGTTGCTTGATAATACTGACGGAATGGATTGGTGTGTGAGGGCAAGAAAGAAGGCACTGAGATCAATTGAAGCGAGGGGCATGACTGATGTGATGGAAGATTTAGTCGCAGTGAAGAAGAAAAAGAAGAAGGGTAAGAAGAAGTTGGAGAGCAAGAAGAAAATTGTTAAGAAAATTGAGGACATGGAAGATGATCTTGAGTATAGTTCGGAGGAAGACTTGCCACAGCCTATGCAACCTGTGAATGATTTTGGTGATTTGAAAAGGAGGGTGAGTATGTTTGCTGATGGAATGTTTGTAGAAAAGAAGGAAAAAACAATGGAAGAATTTGTCAATAGGCTTTCTCAATTCTCTGGGCCATCTGACCATAGAAAAGAAGTCAACTTGAACAAAGCAATTACAGAAGCACAGACTGCAGAGGACGTCTTGGAGGTTGCTTATGAAATAATTGTTGCAGTTGCGAAAGGTCTTAGCCCCTCACCTCTGTCCCCCTTGAACATTGCTACTTCTCTTCATCGCATTGCTAAAAATATGGAGAAGGTTTCTATGATGAGAACTCGAAGACTGGCTTTCGCTCGACAAAAAGAGATGTCTATGCTTGTGGGCATTGCAATGACAGCCTTACCCGAATGCTCTGCTCAAGGAATTTCTAACATATCTTGGGCATTGTCTAAAATTGGAGGTGAATTACTTTATATTTCAGAAATGGATAGAATTGCGGAAGTTGCACTGACCAAGGTTCAGGAATTCAACTCTCAAAACATTGCTAATATTGCTGGTGCTTTCGCATCAATGCAGCACTCTGCTCCTGATCTCTTCTCCGAGTTGTCCAAAAGGGCTTCAGACATAATTCATACCTTCCAAGAACAAGAACTTGCTCAGCTTTTGTGGGCTTTTGCTTCTCTGTATGAGCCTGCTGACCTTGTATTTGATTCTTTAGACACAGTCTTCAAAGATCCTTGTCAATTGAAAGGTTATATTAGTGGAAAGACATCAAATAATGATGTACAAGTCAGTGTTGATAGAAGTGGTGCCTCAAATGGATCTCTTGGTTCTCCTATACTAACTTTAAGTAGGGATCAGCTTGGGTCTATTGCTTGGTCCTATGCTGTCCTTGGACAAATGGATAGGAGATTCTTCACTTATGTCTGGAAAACTCTCAGCCATTATGAGGAACAAAAGATTTCAGAGCTGTATAGGGAGGATATCATGTTTGCTTCTCAGGTTCATCTTGTAAACCAGTGCTTGAAGCTTGAATACTCACATCTTCAGTTGTCATTATGCGGTGAGCTCGAGGATAAAGTTGCTCTTGCTGGAAAAACTAAAAGGTTTAATCAGAAAATAACTTCATCATTTCAGAAAGAGGTTGGACGTCTACTTATTAGCACTGGCCTGGAATGGGTCAAAGAATATGTTGTGGATGGATACACTTTGGATGCTGTGCTAGTTGATAAGAAGCTTGCTTTGGAGATTGATGGTCCAACTCATTTCTCGAGAAATACTGGTGTGCATCTTTTGTTTACATATATGAAATTTGTAACTGTTCTTTTTTACCCACTTGAGTCTTGACTAACCAATTTATTATTTTATCATCGTTGCCTATTGTAGGTGTTCCGTTAGGACATACCATGTTAAAACGCCGATATGTCACTGCTGCTGGTTGGAAAGTCATCTCATTATCCTATCAGGAGGTGAGCTCTCCTATTTCATGTTTCAGTTAATACTTACCCACTTTTAATCCGCTAACAATTTTCATCATACAAAATAAAACAGAATAAAAAACAGGAATTTGATCATATATGTTAGCACACATCTTTATCAGTTAGCACATTGTTATCAACACCTGTGCCATACAGAACTCAGTAACAAGAGTATGTATCATCTAGGTAAATCTATTCTTGGCAACTTATGTGCATTTGGCATACCTTTAGAGCGATTGTCTTTCAAATTGCACTCAACATCAGCAGAAACATTCTGTCATAACTCTACACCTGTCATTTTTCCAAATTTTGTTGAGCAAACCATATCAATATATTAACCTGATGGTGTTAAATTGTTTCACCCTCAAACACATGACCTCTTTGTCAGTATCACTATCACAATAAGCTATAACCAATACCTGCGACATGTCCTGACCTTAGAATGTTGCAACCTTCCCCCTTGCTTCCTGCTAAATTGTCATTTTATGTTCCAAAAATCACATCCTCTAAGATGCTCATTTCTAAATTTTATATGTATAAAAAAATTCTAATGAAAAAGTAACCTTAATTATAAATATTTTCACTTCAAATACAATTACCTCTAAAAAAACGTATATATCATGGTTATTTTACACCAACATACACAATGCTGGCTGTAATTAAAGTAGACATGTTTACTCTCAGGTTGTAGTTTATTTTTCATTACTAATCTGTTCAAAATCACAAGGACATTGTTGCCTAGCTTTTTGTTATATAAGTGATACAACATTAATGGTGCGAATCCTGTATACATAATTCATTTCATGAACGTTTATTAATTAATCCACTGTGATATCAACTTAAATAGCAAGAAATGTGGAGACAATCCTTGCAACCAAGATGCTGTAGATATTACAGATGAATGTGCATGTGTCTGCATGAAATAACATTATTGTTCTTTTTCCTCAACCAGATGCTTTAAGGACTTTGTTATTGATAGGAATCTTGTTTTGTCCTTGAAGATTTTATTGACGTTACTTTAGTGCTCATTCTTGTAGTGGGAAGAACTTCAAGGAGCATTTGAGCAAGTAGAGTACCTTAGGAACATTCTCAAAAATCATATAGATGAAGGATATGCCAAAACTACATTGACTGAGGTAAAGTGATCCAATGCTGCTTTTCACAAGCATAAGGAGGTATCAGATATGAATTTTTTTGTTATGCTCCCTAGAGAAATTTTAGTAAAGGGGATGTATATTTCTTAGAAATTTTACATTTCAAAAGCATATAAATATCATTTCCTCCTCCTCCTCTTCACACCTTTTTGTAGTAAAATATCTTAGTCCCTGAAATCAACACCACAGATGAATTTGGTTTTTGGCAATGCAAATTCAGTCCTTGACTGACAATTGTAAATCAATTTGGTCCCTGAAATTCGTATTATTGATAAATTTGGTCTCTAACATGATAAAATAAGTCAATTTAATCCCTAAACCTAAGTGCCTGCAAAGGACCCAGTGCGATTTATTTATCTTTTTGGCTGTGCTAACTTTTTAAAGTTAGATTCTCATTTTGCCATTGTGGGTAGTATCAGCTTCTGTTGAAGCGAACACATACTGGCTCCATTCCTGTCTCTTTACAAGTAATTATGATGTTAATTTGAGCTAAGCGGAGACTCCATTGTCCCTGGAAATGAGAGAAATATGATATCATTTGATCATCAGTGCTCAGACCTTTGATGAGCCTTTCACTCATTAGCTTTACTCCCTTGAACAAATAAAAGGCATAGATTTTTATTAAAAGGCTATTGTATTGTTAATGATCCATGAAAAACCAAACAAAATGATATATTAAAATAACTGGCTCTTTAGTAGAAGCACAGAAGTGGCCACTTTCTTTTTTAATGTCAATAATCCATAATGCCCATAGAATTGTCTTCTAACTCAATTCCCCAATTCTATGTTAGGGATCAACTTCTTGTGTAAAGTTTCGGAAATGTTTGCGTTTGGTAATTTTATTTCTTAATTGGCTGCTCTCTCTCATACTCAGTGACTTGTGATTTAAGGACTCAGATACCTGTAAATGTTGTATTAATTGGGGGAGCATAGTGTTCGCACAGAAGTTATTTGTGTATTCGCTAATCTTTAGTTTGAAGAGTTGATAACTCTGATCTGTCAATTGTACATAATTTGATTAAATGATTTATAGCTTAGTGATAACAACTTAAGAATTAAAGAAAACAAATGTAGGAATAATGTTGTAACACCCCCTCACGTCCCCCAACCCCAACCCAATCTATGTATGTATATGTAGAGAGAGAGAAAGAGTATCGTCTCATCTCTGAAATGGATGATGATTACGCTGAGAGATGGAAGTTGCAACACTATGAACTCATCTAAGGATTTAACAATCTGTTTCATTCTAGCATTTTGTGAATAATCTAACTGATGTTTCATGCACTAAATATCTATTCATGTCTTACTACTTCTTGATTAATTTTCGTCTAGTTATCAGTCTAATGTTTTGTGAGTGTTTGCTGGTTTTAAGAAGATTCACATGGCCTAGGTGTTCTTGATATTGACTTGCTTAGCTGAATTAAAAAAATGTACTTAGCTTTCAACAAAACCATGTTCATCAAAGAGGGAACATCCATCGATATAATGCGGAATGAAGATGGGTGGAATATGGCAGGTGAAGACGTACTAGATTCTGACCTTCGGTTCATCTTTGGTTTCCCGTTTGAGGAGCCGAAGTTATTTTACTGCTAAAACTTTACTTCTACCATGTTGGGAGCCATTAAGCCAATGCGAATCCAAAGCTGTAAAAGGACACATGCAATCATAGTTAGGTAGGTAGGCATGGCTAAGAGTGCTCCAAGTACTTGTTAAAGAATAACTACATTTAACACTACTAATATTTTTTAAATACATTGATTGTCTTGCATTTGCAGGATAAAAATGTCTATGGTTGCATAATGAATTCAGTAATATGCTGTATATTGTAAAGGACTTGATTGAGTGCTGATAATTGGCATGTTGGTGCAAGTGTGTATTTTTCCTTCTCTTTGGATGTGTGAATTCAATAATGTGTGATGAATTGGTGATTTTATTTTTTATCTTGTAGCGCCAAAACCACATCACCATATGAGATGTGTGTTGCTTTGGGTAGCTTAAATATGCAAGTGACTTATTAGTGGTTGCACTGCACATTCATAAATGCGATAGGATTTGAAATTTGATGGATTTTTATCAAACCTTGAGGGAAGAAACTTTGAATAAATTTATTTTTGTTTTATTTATTTACCGATTAAAATATGATAATGTTAATACAATAAAAATAATATAGTCAAAATAATTGAAATCCTTATATATAGCTTTAAAGTGATGTTATTTTTGTTGACAAAAGAAAGTGGGGATTATTCTAAAATAGATGAAATATTTATTAGTCTAACTTGGACATAGAATTGTGAAATAGATGGGCTTGTTCAGACTAACTTTAATGATTCCATCTTTTACTACTGTCTTCGTTTCACATTTCATTCACAAATCCATACAACGGCTTCATCGAACGGTTCCACCGTCTACATTCTCAACTTGGGTGAAATTTCGAGACACATGAAAAAATGCTCACTAAAAATTTTGTATAACTCATGAAAAAAATTATTTACTGATTTTTGCTGAACAGGTATGTCGATACCATTCCTTCACATTTTAAATCTTCCTTTTTGGTACCTTTTTTATGAGTTTTATCATATTAATCTTTAAAGAGTGGATCTTAGCTCGTAAATATGTCGGTTACTATGTTTTAAATTTTTATATAAAAAAAAAAGATAATATCGAAAGAATTAATTTGAAAGATCACTATTTAAAAATTTGATATGCATTTAAAAATGATATTTTAAAATTGAACTGAGTGAAATTGATTATCTAGTTGATAAATAAAATAAGTTGACCAAAAAGAGGTTGATAAAATATAATCACTTTTAAAATATACACATATTATATATGTATATATTTAAAAGTTTTATAGGTACTATTCCAGAATCAAGTCTACTCAATGAAAATGTTTAAAACTTTTGCTTCTCTTAAAATTAATTTTTAATTCTGTATAAAGGAGACAATTAATGTCTACTTGAGTTAACTTTACTTAAATATGGGCACACATCTCAGGAATTGTAAACTGCAAATTTTTTGCCTTTTTCCAAACAGAGTTTGCGGCTCATTTCATGGTGTATTAAAACTGTCAAAAAGGCTAAGAAGTCCAATAGTCAGTTTTACTTAACTCTGAATTAATCTATCCAGCCCTACCCCCATATTAATTACAAAAACTAAATTATTTAGCCTATAATATGCAGTTAAGGTGGAGATATCATAGGTTAGCCCTGATCGTACCAAAGTTATACGAACTTTAATCTCAATTCTCTAAACACTCTCAAATCCTAATACTTGTATTGCGTTTGCTTTCTCTTACTATCATTATCATATGCTAATACTGTAATTCTTAATTTCACTTTCCAAATCCAAGAGGAGTTGGAACACGAGCTGAAGAGAAGTAGAGCTTAGTTCAATTTTCAGTCGAAAACAAGTTTTGGTGTTCGACCAGGAACCATGTCTTTTACTTCACCTCCTCTTCCTCAAAATTTGATCAAATGTTTGAATTTTTATGTGAGGATTTTCATTCTTTTCTATCTATCGGTAGCATTTAGATTTCAATGGTATGGGTTTTTTTTATTTGTCTGTAATGGAATGTGGTTTTTTAGAAGCCTTTGGTCCAACATTCTCGGAGTTCTTAGTCAATGAAAAAATTGGAACAAGTTAGGAGACAATATAAGGAATTATGAAGATTGCATAATGCGTAGCAAGAAATTCAAGGCTCTCTAGTCGTTAGTTGATAATTCAGAATCTAAATTCTCAATTTGAAGTGTTTAATATTACTTATTATAAGAAGTGTTAGAATATTAGTTCTCAAATTTTTACCTACCATGTTTTTGTTAACTACAGCTTTGAGGTTTTTACTATGTCAGGGACATATTCTGCACTGTCCTTACTTTATGACAACTTAAATCATAGTTTTATTTTGCTACGGTGAATGAAATATGCATTTGATGTGATTAAGTATGCGAGCTGTCATTAATTAAATTTGGTAATATGGAGTATTTTAAGACTTTGGCTTCTGAGTTTATACTGACCTCAAATTCCATGATACTTTAACATGAATTGCTCATTTTCATGTGATGTTATTCTTAAGGTCACAATGGACTGAATAAAATATTTTGACCCATAAAGTCTTAATCTTAACCCTAGTTTTGTGGACTTTTTGATCGTAACGCACATAAGTTTGACACCTCAACCCATCATGTATAAAGACGAAGATCCTAGAGATACATGCATGCATAAATTAAAAAGAGGTGCATGAGAAATTGAGAATGGTACAGGATAAGGTACCATACTTAGCTTATGAATTGAGGTATGCTGACCCATAAGATGGCGTCTCTCCATGGATACAGCCAAAAACTATTGAACCATAATTTATAGACCCACAACTTGTCTATAATTTAGTTGATTCTTGATTGTATACGTGTGTTGAATTCAGCTGCATTTTGCGTCCTTCTCAGAACCCCACGTTCTCACATTCAATATATTTTTATCCTATTAGGTTCTTCCAATATCAAATTGGAACAAACCAGGAAATTGGGGAATCAGTTTTGGAAAGTTAAATAGGAAAAAAGAAAAAACAAAGAAATTTATATTGAAGACTACAAATACGGTCCACCAATTATTTTTGGTATCATCCTCCCAAGCAGACTCAGACAAATGGGGGGCATCTTATAATGCAAAAGAAACAAGAGACCAATAGACAAAAAATTTACTCATGGGGTTTCGCCCTTGTTAACAATGTTCTTGTTAGGGGAAGCAATTGAATGTGATCTAGATCTTTTTTTGCTTTCTCTAATGCACAAAGAATCAAACAGCATTTCTTATGTACCATAGCCAGCTAATTCAATCTTCTAAAGAGTGTTTGGCGTTGGCATGTCTCTAGGGTCTACCAATTTCATATTTTGTTTAAATGTTGGTGTTTCTTTTCTTAATTTAATATAAACCTATAGATTTTGGCCTAAAAGTTGGTCTTTGGATGTTGAAAACAAGGCCATTTTAAGTTAGATTGACCAACGGAGTCATTTAATTAAGAGACAAAACTCACCAAAAGAATCATTTTTCTTTTCTATTATTTAGATTAATTGTCTTCATGCATGTCTTTGTACAGATTTTATGTTTTATATAAATTTCATCAAGATTTAATGTTTCATAAAACATATACTGCAATTTATTTAGGTTACTTGAAAAAACATTTGTAATTAAGTATCTTGTTCTTTTTCCAAGTCGTTTTCATTTATAACATACTCCTTTAATAAACGTTTATATACTCTATGTTGCACGTAAAGAAATCAAATCATGTGTTTTGCAAACCTGTAAATGCTAATTAATTTATATCTAAATAATGATACATGTATGGTTATACTAATTATTGATTGACATAGGTACTAGTACAAATCCGAGTCAATCGTATAAACATGTATATAAATTAACATATGAATATTGTTGTTTTGTACGAAAAGAAAGATAATGAAATTGCGATTTTGTACAAAAAGTGCAAGCAATGCTTTTTTAGTTTTTCGTATTCTTTCTTTTCGTCCAAAATAACCACTCTACTTAACATTTAACGGCTTTCTTTTAGCCTAAATAGGGTAAGTTAAAGAAAAAAAAAATCTCAAAATACGCTTCAGCAAAAAAAATTTTTTTTACTAAGATAAAGAATGACCCGTAAAAAAAGTATCATTACTAGAAGTGATCATCGGTCAGTTTTGGGTGGGTTCGAATTTAAAAGCTAGGAGTGTTCAAAAAATTCAGTTTTACAAATCCAATCCATAACTAATATTAAACTAGTTTTAAAAATCTAGATTTATATTAAACTGATTTTTTTATTAACTGTATTTGTGTAACTGGTTTAGTATCCAAATCCATTTTCTAAAACTGAATTTTTTTTTTTAGTTATCTAAATCCATATGTATATGTATAAAGCCATTATCTTATATATTTACTTATTAAATTTTTGTGTTATATTAGTTTATAAAATTTTATAACTATATTTTACCATTAATATTTTTTAATTAATTTTTATAATTAAAATTAAAATATTTAAAATAATTAAAGATATTAAAATATAAAAAATATTTTTAAATTAATGACTACTGTTTTCTTATATTTATGTTTACTTTTTAACTTTTTAATATTATAATAATTTTATTATTATTTATATTATTAATTTTTATTTTTATAAGTTTTAATTTTAACTTTCACTATAAACTTTATTCATTAAAATTAAGTTAAAAATAATAATAAATATTTTATACACTTCTATAAAATATAATATATTGATAAATATTGTTCAAATCTTTTTGAAATACACTGATTTAATACAACGTTTTATATAATAAATTAGTTTTACCTTAAAAAAAATTTTATAAATGTATTGAAAATCAATTTTACGTTAAAAATTAAATTTAAAACTAGTTGTAAACACCAAAATTTTGATTTAAAATTTTTTATTTAAAAAAAATCTGAATTCTAATATTACAAAAGAAGAATGGAATCAAAAGGTTTTAAAGAAAAAAATAAAAATTTGTCTTAATAAAATAGGAAAATTTCAGAATTAATTTTTAAAAGAAAAATAGAACATGACAAATAATCAAACTCTTGAACTAATGCTACTTTATTAAAAAGGGAAAATTTATAATTTTTGGCCTTTTGTGAAAACCCTAGCAATAAAAGAAAAAAGAATCATGGATCAAAGGGGGCTAAAAAAATTTTGAGAGGAGGCATTGTTAAACTTGGAGAGAAAAAAGAGAAAATATAGAGAAAGGAAGGTTAGTGGAAAGGAGGAAGAACAAGAGGCAAGCAAA